ACGACAGATGAGTTAAATGAAGAAGAAGCAGTCGAGAAAGAGGGACAGAGGCCAAGGAGTAAATTAAGAGGAAGAAAAAGGAAGAAAGAGAGAGCGTCAGCGACTCTGTTATGTTGGGGAATTAGATAAACCGTGGAAGCGAGAAGGGGAAATAGGGGGGGTTGGGAGGGAGGTATCGATGTCCACCGTAATTAAGACAAATGGGAGGTTATATCGGAAAGTTTATGGTAATGGCGGTCTTGTCGGAAGGGAGAATGTTGACTAAAAAGAAATTTGATAATCAAATCGTAATAAAACCCGAAAGAATACGTATAATTACCAAGAAAAAAAAAGATAATTTTTTGCGCATCATTTACAAACACCCATAAAAAAGGATTAGATTATAATGTGTGAGGCATAAGCGTGAGTAGAACATTTTTTTATGGGCTTACATCATGATCAACCAAGCTCGTCTGTGTGGATCATGCTAACACCCCGCTGGAATCGGGTCATCCTGGGCGCTAATGTGATAAAGAGGCAAGGGAAGTGCCGGTTTGGGCGAGTGTGTCGGCGGGTCGATGGGTGTGCACTGGACAGGAACACGCACTCAGACAGATACATAGGCAGGTACTTACCAAACGCAGAAACAAAGTCACACACACACATACATACATACATATATATATATATATATATATATATATATATATATATATATATATATATATATATATAATGTGTGTGTGTGTGTGTGTGTGTGTGTGTGTGTGGTGTGTGTGTGTGTGTGTGTGTTGTGTGTGTGTGTGTGGTGTGTGTGCGGTGTGGTGTGTGTGTGCGTGTGTGTGCGAGTGCGCGTGGTGTGTGTGTGTGCGTGCGTGCGTGCGTGCGTGTGTGTGGTGTGTGTGTGTGTGGTGGTGGTGTGTGTGTGTGTGTGTGTGTGTGTGTGTGTGTGTGTGTGTGTGTGTGTGTGTGTGTGTGTGTGTGTGTGTGTGTGTGTGTGTGTGTGTGTGTGTTGTGTGTGTGTGAGTTGTGATAACTGAGACGGCGTCCTTGCTCTCTTCCTCCCGTGTGCAGAGAGGAGGAAAGGTGAAAAGGGAAAACGAGGTGACGCGCCATACACGCCATGTGTCGGAAGTCCCAAGGTCAGATTTTTGAATTTTTATATCATTTTATTATTATTATTATTATTATTATTATTATCATTATTATTATCATTATTATTATCATTATTATTGTTATAGTGCAGATTGTTATTATTTATTATTATCATTATTATATTATTATTATTATTATTAAGTTATTATTACTATTGGGGGGCGTGGATGTACGCAACAGAATTAGTCGAAGGAGACAGTTCTTTGTCCAAGGGATAAATTGGGAATTGGAATTATATAACCAAAGTAAAAGCATAAGGAATGAAAATTAAGTAAGAAGGGAGGGATCGATTACTTAATGTCCAAGTAAATGACAGAGAGATAGCAGGGAAGCTTTGGGATCTTGTCGTGTTCCTTTTTTTTTTTTTTTTTTTTTTTTTTTAGATTGATATTAGATTAATAATCATGGTAATGATTATTAATCTAATACTAGTAGGCAAGGGGAGGGAGGGTGTAAAATTAATCTTAACATTAGAACTGAGGTAATTTAGTAGAATTAATTAAAAATTGTATATGAGAAATTAGTGAATATGACACCGGTGTCATCGGTGAAATTTATATATTTATATATTGTATATGACATTTATAAATATTATACGTGTTTTGTGTGTGGTGTGTGCACGAAATACACATTCACATACACACACTTTTATTTTCTCTCTCTCACACAACAATAATATATTATGTAATTATATTTGTGTGTGTGTGTGTGCACAAACGCACATTCACATACACTTTTTCTCTCTCACACACATACACAAACATACATGATATGCGTTTCTTTCTGTATATGAACATATTAATATATATGAATATTCCTTGGCTCGGACATTTAGCAATTTCAACAAATTGGATGATAGATATAAATGATGGATAACCGTAGACTCAGGGAGAGAGCGACAGACAGAACCTTGAAGAGAGATCCAGATATGGATATGGATAAACACTATTTGTAGAATATCTTCTAGATGCCTTCCAGATCTAGATGTGGATACGGATAAACACTGTTTCCAGAATTACCATTATAAGATGCCTTCCAGATCTAGATGTGGATACCGATAAACACTGTTTCCAGAATACCTTATAGATCCCTTAAACATCAATATACGGAAGCGGATAAACACTTTGGAATACCTAACATATGCAGAGGGAGGAGTGCATGCATGTGTCTAATCATGAGCCTCATTTGGCACCGCGATCAACGTCAACGCAGCCCACGCCATGCTAATCAGGCCCCGATCGCCGATTCAACGCGCGGCCGATGTCATGGGGAAGCTGATGCTGCGGATGATGCTGGTGATGTTTTGTGATTTTTTTGGTGATGATGCTGCTTGATATTTCTGGTTGGTGATGCTGGGGATGTTTCTGGTGATGTTTTTGGTGATGCTGCTGCTGATGTTTTCTGGTGTGATGCTGGGGATGTTCTGGTGATGTTTTTGGTGATGCTGCTGCTGATTGTTTCTTGCTGCCGTGGTGATGCTGGGGATGTTTCTGGGTGATGTTTTTTGGTGATGATGCTGGTGATGTTTTTTGGTGAGTGATGCTGGGGATGTTCCTGGTTGATGATGCTAGGGATGTTCCTGGTGATGAATGCTGGGGGATTGTTCTGGTGGATGCAATGCCTGCGGATGTTTCCGGTGATGATGCTGGGGATGTTCCTGGTGATGATGCTAATGTTCTGTTGTGATGATGCTGGGGATGTTCCTGTGATGCTATGCTGGGGGATGTTTTCCTGGTGATGTGCTGGGGATGTTCTGATCGTGTTCCTGGTGATGATGCTGGGGATGTTCCTGTGATGAATGCTGGGTGATGTTTCCTGGTGATGATGCTGGGGATGTTCTGGTGATGATGCTGGGGATGTTCCTGGTGATGATGTGGGGATGTTGGTGATGCTGGGGATAGTTCCTGGTGATGATCTGGGGATGTTCCTGGTGATGATGCTGGGGATGTTCCTGGTGATGATGCATGGGGAATGTTCCTGGTGATTGATGCTGGGGATGTTTCTGGTGATGTTTCTGGTGGTGATGCTGGGGATGTTCCTGGTGATGCTGATGTTTCTGGTGATGATGTTGAGAATGCTCTCTGTTGGTGATGCTGTTGATGTTTCTGGTGGTGATGCTGGGGATTTTCCTGGTGATGGATGCTGATGTTTCTGGTGGTGAAGTGCTGATAATGATGCTGGGGATGAAGCTGATGTTTCTGGTGATGATGCTGATGATACACTCTGGTGATGATGTTGGTGATATTCCCGGTGATGAAGTAGCAATATTCCCGGTGATGATGCAGGTGATTGTCATACATCTGGTGATTACACTGGTGACGATCTCCCGAGAGGACGAGGGCGCCAGACACTTTCGGACGGGCGGGCACCTCGGGCGTGGCAAAGGGTTTCGCTCTGATGGCCTCCGATTCAATCAAGACACGTTTGTGACGTGTTTGAAGGAGATGGAATCATCATATGCGCCATTCGGGGATGCGACGGAAGGGGGGGGGGGGGGAGAGGAGGGAGGGGGAGAATAAAAAGGGGGAAAAGGGAAGTGGTGCAAGATGGGAGAGGGGGAGGGAGGGGGGGGAGAGGGGGAAATGGGGACGGAAAGGGAGAGGAAGGGTAGTGAAGAAGAGGGAGAAGGGAAGTGGTGCAAGAAGGGAGTTAGGGGGGAAAAAGACGTGGAGGGGAGAGTGGGAGAGGGGAAACATAGGACGGAGGGGGAGAGAAGAAAAAGGGAAAAGGGAAGTGGTGTAAGAAGGGAGAGGGGAGAGGGAGAGAGAAAAAAGACGTGGAGGGGAGAGTGGGAGAGGGGAAAACGGGGCGTAAGGGGGAGAGGGAGGGGGGGGAGAAGAAAGGGAAAAGGGAAGTGGTGCAAGAAGGGAGAGAGGGGGGAGGGGAAGAGACGTGGAGGGAATTGGGAGAGGGGAAAATGGGACGGAAAGGGGAGAGGGAGGGGGGGGGAGAAGAAGAAGAGGGAAAAGGGAAAGTGGTGCAAAATGGGAGAGGGGGGGGAAGACGTGGAGGGGAGAGTGGGAGAGGGGAAAATAGGACGGAGGGGGAGAGAATAAAAAGGAAAAGGGAAGTGGTGCAAGAAGGGAGAGAGAGAGGGGAGGGGGGGGGGGGGGAAGACGTGGAGGGGAGATTGGGAGAGGGGGAAAAATAGGATGGAAAGGGGAGAGGGAGGGGGGAGAAGAAGGGGAAAAGGGAAGTGGTGCAAGAAGAGAAGAAGAGAGGGAGAGGGGGAAAAAGACGTGAAGGGGAGATTGGAGAGGGGAAAAATAGGACGGAAAGGGGAGAGGGAGGGGGAGAATAAAAAGGGGGAAGGGAAGTGGTGCAAGAAGGGAGAGAGGGAGAGGGAGGGGAAGAGACGTGGAGGGGAGAGTGGGAGAGGGGGAAAATGGGACGGAAGGGGGGAGAGGGAGGGAGGGGGGAGAATAAAAAGGGAAAAGGGAAGTGGTGTAAGAAGGGAGAGAGGGGGGGGGGGGGGGTGGGCGAGAAGAGACGTGGAGGGGAGATTGGGAGAGGGGGAAAATGGGAAGGAAGGGGAGAGGGAGGGGAGAGAAGAAAAAGGGGAAAAGGGAAGTGGTGCAAGAAGGGAGAGAGGGAGAGGGAGGGGGGAAAGACGTGGAGGGGAGAGTGGGAGAGGGGAAAATGGGACGGAAGGGGGGAGAGGGAGGGAGGGGGAGAAAAAAGGGAAAAGGGAAGTGGTGTAAGAAGGGAGAGAGGGGGGGGGGAGACGTGAGGGGAGATTGGGAGAGGGGGAAAATGGACGGAAGGGGAGAGGGAGGGAGAGAAGAAAAAGGGGAAAAGGGAAGTGGTGCAAAGGGAGAGAGGGAGAGAGAGAAGGGGAAAAAAGACGTGGAGGGGAAAGTGGGAGA